TGATTTCTATAGCCACCACCCTCAAACGAAGGTCTCGGAGCTCATTAAACCAAAGTCCAACCGGGAGAGCCCGGCAGCTCCCAGCCCCTCCGCGCGGCAGCGTCCTCAAGCTCCCGCTCGGCTGCGCTGCAGCAGAACCCGCGGCTCAATAAACTTTTTGATGTGTTTTCATGTTATCAGAACAAAGTCAAAGACTTGCTCACTTTTTACCTCGTATGTCCTGGATCAATAATTGCGCCTATTGATCGGCAACATAAATTCAAAACAGAATTTACATCGAGTACCATAACCTAATAAAAAGGCAACAACTGAATTTGCTGGAATTGATTTTCCTTTTGTTTCCAGCAGAAAATCTTCAGGCCTGTAGAATAATAAGCTAGGGTGCACATAGCAGTTAATTATCAATGAGTATCACAAAAAGCTAAAATTAAATTTCTCTTGAATATGAAAAGAAATTGTTGAGTCTGCAGGCTCGATATTTAAACAAAAGACATTTCTTGTACCTTTTCCACAGTGCATTCAAATAATTTTAGTGAGCGTAAGGTGAATTTCAGAGCCTCGTCAAATCACCTTGTAAGGTAAATATAGATTAAATGATATCAGAGACATCTAACTCCAGAAGCTATAAAGAAATGCTGAAATCATTTTTTGTTTCATTTGTTTCATTTTTGTCGTGAACCTAAAAAAATGTTTTGTCTTGTAACTGGGGACAGAGGTGATCCTGTATTCCCAGCTCCAGGTGCCTCACCTGGAAAAAAGAGGGGCCTGCCAGGAACGGCCGTGACGGAGGCGGAAGCGCTACCAAGGGGGTCCAGGGTGGGCTGTGGGCTCCTCGGGGCTCCTTATGGGCAAGAGATACAAAACGTGGCTTCCTCCAGTTGTCTCTCCTTATGTTAAAGGAGGGAAAAGTGGAGAACTGAGCGCTGCTTTAGGACACGCGCGGCTCCGAGCGGAGCGAATCCTGCCCATGCCTGCCAGGAGCGGCAGGGGGGGCCCGGGGGAAGCGCCTGCTCCCGACAGTCGGTCTCCTTCGCTTCAGTAACACACCAGAGGTACAGAACAACAGAAAAACAGGAGTATGCTTTAATAGAGCATCAACGTACATTGCGTTAATATATCAAAGAGACAACACAAATAAGGCTGTCACAAAAATACAGGCACTACCAGCATTTTATTTTAAAGGAATAAGAAAGAGAGAAAGCAGATGAGCGGCAGCCTCATCTATTCCCCCAATAATGTCCAGCTACAACAGCCAGAAAGTTAACAAGAGCAACCAAACTAAGACTGTTCAAAAGATCACTTGATTTCAAGTGCATGGGGCAGTCTGTACCAGAAGAGTGGTTACCAGATTTAAGGTTGATATTAATTTTTATTTTCATATATGTATAACTAAAGAAGCAATTCTGAATTTGAAAAAGTTCAGAAGTTATCCTTCAACACTACTATGCACATATATGAGGCAGCAAATATTACTCTTATTAAGGCTAGTATGCAAGGATGGACCATCATGCAAATGCAATTAAAAGGCAATACATTACACTTAAAATATGCAAACCAAGTTTTTTTTTTTTTTTTCTGCAGAAAAGAACATATCAAACACTAGCTTTGACCCAACAAAGTTATTTACATGCATGCTTGAAGCTAAGTACATGGAGTACAGTTGCACAAACATCACTGCCTAGCTTCAGTATCTTACCCAGCTCGGACACGAGCAATCAATTCTCCCCATGCCTGCACGAGCACCTGTCATTTTCCATTTCCACAAACACTGCTGCTTTTCCAACCCGTGAGGCCTACCTACTTTAAGTTTTGGAATTCCTTCATGATCGCTGAACATCTTTAATCTTCCCAGTGACTGGGGGACAGGAGGTGGACACAGAGGGTGCCTGTGTGCCCTGCAGGTCCCTGCAGGAATGGTGCCACACAAGTTACCTCCGTCAGATACTCGGAAAGGTTTGGATTGATTTTCAGCTGCTGTACCCCTCGCTTATGAGCCCAAAGAGAGAAAAATTGGCTTAAAAAAAATATCCATAGTCGGCATTATCACTAAAACATACAAGCAATGCTAGTTTACAAGAATAAACTCTTAATTGATATTTTAGTATAGCAAGTACTACTTTGGCAAGTGGTATCTAAAGACGTTCTATCATCAGTAAGAAGAGAGCTTCATTTCTTCTCTGTGTCATTATAATAAATTGAAATCAAACAAAATAACGAGCATGGTCAGCTGTGTGACTTTATCAGCATCATTGCCAACACCAAATCTAGCTCAGAAATGAAGGATTCATCATGAGAAAGCAGAGACTGTGCAAGAGGGAAAAGCGCCCGAGCGGTACTGGCTTTGCCTGGTCTGTGATGGTGCTGAGGGGCTGCTGCACTTGTGCTTTCTTCAACCCTCATACTAAATTAACACAATTACATTTCAGACCTGAAATTATTTCCCAACCTGCTGTGATGCCAATCATACAACTTCCTTGGCACCCATCGAGTTGTCTAAAGGCCCAGATTTTCCAAATTCTTGGTATCACGTTACATTCAATGCTCGCCAATCCCTTATTAACAGCATCCCTTACCTAAGAAAACAGTAGTTAAAAGGTAGGAAGATGTCTTTATTTTACTTTGCCTAATTTTGAGTCACAGTAGTGCATCATTTAGACACTGCCAGGCACGTGCTCGGTGCACTTCAACTATGAAAAAGAGAAAGGAAAAGGAAAGATCCATTTTACTTTAACCCTGACCAGCAGCTGTTGCAATTTTCTTTACTTATCACTGTGGGTTGTGATGGATGGGAAGATTCACTACGCTGAGGATCTAGGATAGTACACAAGTGCACTCAAGGACTGTTGTTCAACAGCACATTTAGTTTAACTAGAAACTACAGACTATAGAGATAACAAATAGTTCCTGGGAGCATCTATCATTCTTCAGAGAAGCTGTCTGATCAAGAGGATAATATCTCAAAGAACAATTGCACGATCTTTTGCTGTATAGCTAGTATATCATGTCATCGAGGGAGGAGAAAAGGGAGCAGGACCTCCCACGGCAAGTGAAACCCCGAAATCTGCGTGGAAGGACAAGCTGAGCTATTAGCATTCTAGCATTTCCAATATGCTTTGCAAATAATAATACACAGAGAAACTGGATACAAAGGAACATGCAAATGAAACAGTTAATTTGCAATAAAACAGAAAAAAAGCACAATTATTCTGAGACTAAAAGCATTAAAATATTCACCCAATTATGCTAAACAGGAGCAATGGAATAAGACCTAGATGTAGCCATGTAATTCAACACAAATACACTTGGCTCTTCAAGTCTTTATTTCCCTCTTTCTACCTGTTTCGTAAGTTCAGGTTATAAAGTTATTGAATGACATGGGAGTTGAAAAGCAAAAGTAAATAAGGCATCTCTTGCTCTCTGTTAAAAGCAGCGCGCCAGGATTTGTGATTATCTGTGTGTCGCTATGTAGCCTTTTCCAGCCTGCATAATTACACTAGATCTCCTTCCCTCAAGGATAAAAGAGGATGTCAACCACTCTAATATCAAATACACTATTTGAAAAGACATCCTACTTTTTTTGAGCACACATATCCCTCTGGGTTACACAGTTATTTAAAAGTATATATTGATAGCCATCACTAACCTTCATCTGAAAGCTGTCCCTAATCATTACATCTAATAGCCTCAGCGCTCTAGATGAAAATTATTTTTAAACTAGAAGTATTGCAAATAAAAATCCGAGTACAAGTAATTAGTAACTTGGTTCTCAAATGAAAGCTTCACTCTGAAATACAAATATCAAATTAGTTATATTAGAAAAAGCTTAAAACAAATACTCACACATTTTGCCCCAAACCTCAAACTCAGACCACCAAGAAATGCTGGAAATTATTCATCATTAAGCTTAATTAACCCAATAAAACATAGAAGACATTTCAATATATTAAAATTGCCACAAAAGCACATGGAGAGAACTCTGTCCTAAAGCTTAAGAGTTTTCCAAAGCTCTTCTTACAAATATTACAAAAAAATGCAGCAGGTAGGCAGTGCCAAGCATGAAATACGAAGTGTTTTATCGTCCCAAACACTGAGGAAGGAAGCAGGCTGCACGAGGAGCAGTGCTCACATCTTCTTCAAGGCGATGCCATGGACAAGTGCGCTGCGTGAATCGAGCTGCGACGCTACGAGGGCAGGGCTCGCTGCAGCAAGGTCCATGCTAAGCACCAGATCAGAGGCAGAAGATTAAAGGAAAACATTAGATGCCACAGTCACTGTTCCACTGATCTGGGAAAGGCAGAGACTCCAAGGTGACCAGAAACTACAAACCGCTTAATGTAAGGCCACTCCTGCAAAGTCAAAATAAGATACATCCAACACTTTCATCCGCTCGTCAAAATAGAAATACTAAAAAGGAGCACTCCATAACATATCCCCATTGCTTCTGACTGACGAGTTGAATCAAAGGTAAAAGCAAAAAGATAGCAGAGAATTTAAGCAATCAAGATTTTTTAGCACAAGGCAGCACAGCTGAGTAGCTTGCTAACCAGCAGATGAATTACTTTGTTACTTTAAAAACAAAAAACACCAAAAAAGCTGTTAGGGGAGTACTTTAGCTTATTACGTTTATTAAACATCAATTAATTATGCCTTTTAATATTAAAAAAAATCCCCAAAGTGATTTCTTCTAGAAGTCATTTAGAAAAGCACCTCACCCTGTCTTTAAGCATATATGCCAATAAAAAAAAAGTATGGTTAAGTATTTGCTGGCTTTCCTCTGAATATTTTTGAAAAAAAATGTCAATTTACATCTGACAGCAAACAAGGATGTCAGTCTAATTAGATTTTTTTATTCTGTCATGCTCCTCTCATCCTATCTCCAAACTCTTCTGAAGAGAAATCTGATCTATGATGAAGGCACAATTATACAAACCTTAAAACACCCTAAAGCAAAGCTATGCAGAAAATGCAGAGGGAGAGGGAAAACAAAAGGTGAAGTATTTTTCTCTTCAAATAATTTTAATCCAATTTATTTTCCCACAGCCATATAAATTTAAAGTATGAAACAACAATAATACAGCTAGAGAATCTAGATTTTCTTTCAAAGCAGCAGCATATAAAACATACAAAAGCTAAAACCTCAGCACAAGCTTCAAAAAAAAAACATGGACTGAGTGAATTTTGCTGAAGACATGAAATTCACAAAATACAGTACACAAAAATACTGGAATGCATAAAATACAAAGCTACACATTTTAGGTAAAGAAAGCCATTTTATAATATACAAAACTTGCAAAATTAAACCTTGGGACTTGGGGGAGAGTACCATGAATACAAAGCAGTTGGCAATTAATACTGGTAGATGGAGAGAAGTGGCAGTATTTATATCTAGCATTCAGTTTTCAGGTTCATGACTTCACTTTCTTAGCATCTTTTTTTCCAGAGCTCTCAGTGGCCAAATCTGCTTTTCTCTTCTGCGACTAAAAAAAAAAAAAAAAATCACATATAAACTCAATCAAATGGTGGTATTATACAACATATTCAAGTTCTGAAATACGTAACTAACCAATCAAAATGAAAGTAAGTGACCCTAATATTATATATTTCAATTCAGCTTTGTAATATGTAAGGAAAGGACAAATAAAAATCCTAACTAAAAGAGTCAGTTCTGGTACCCTTCACTTTCTTCAAGTCCTGTGTTATATGGTTTTAATACCACAGGTCCCATACACCATTAATTGAGTGAAAAGACCAGCACCTTGTTTTGTTTACTGCTGTTCTAAAGAGGAAAATTAATTACAGAAAGGAGGACTTACTTCTTCCTCCAGTGACTACTACATAGTGGAAGAACAGTAATCTGAGATCAAAGACACCCAGCGCACCACAGAAATATCCTGGCAGAAAAAGTGCAATCCATATGTTTTCTTAAGCAGAGTCTCTCAATGCTATTTACATGAAAATCTCTCTTCTCTAATAAACAAGCAGACCCTAAAATCCTGCAAAATCAGGAATTCCTACCTACAAGCCATCCATTTCAATTAAATCTCTCAACTAATGGCTTATACTAAAACAATCTGTGGCTAAAATTTTCTTATTTCTTATTTTTGAAAAGAAAATATAATTGGACTCTGCCCCACTGAAAGGTCAGTAAGTGCTGTTAAAACGTACTGCTGGAACTTTCGCTCCTCTCTTCTTCTTCTCAGCTCTTTCCTTTTCCTCAATTTCCATGTTTTCTTTTTCAATTAATGATATGAGCGTATTGCAGCGTCTCTGAAATTCCTAAAAAATAGAAGTAATCAAATTCTCTAGCAAAGAATAAAGCATACGTACTTTCTTATTTATATGAATACATTTAAAACTCTTGGATTTCAAAATCCCTTTTTTCCTCCCTGAAGTGTTCAACATCCTGTACTAATATGATTAGCTTAGTTACTGTACACCATAATATTTAAAAACACCTTATTTTAACAATTTCTCTAATTGGAGAAAAATACAACCTTCACTGAAATCCTTCAACTTCCTGACAAGGCATTTTCAGGACTGTGTCACACTGAAGGACTCAGGAAGTGTAGGTAAAGAGTAATGACAACGTGTTCTATAATAACAATAATCTAGATCTTTTCTAATATTGGTTTATGTTAAATTCAAGACAATTAGAGAGGAGACAGCAAAGAACCTTCAGCCTGACACACTAAGGAAGACCACCTTATTTCCTTGAGAAAATTATTTACATGAACACATATGTATTACAGTAAAATGCAAAGGTTCACCCCCAGACTATCCAGATAGGCTACTACTCCAGCACAAGATGCTGTGGTCAGAGAACTCATAAAAAACACCAATTTTCTCAGGAGGATCCCAGAAACAGTGGACATGCATTTTGTTTTCTGCTATAACCTAACATGCATTTTGTTTTCTGCTATACCCACTATCATAGAGAACAAAAATCTAAATGATAAATTCTGTCTTCAACTACCAAAACTTCAATATGGACTAATCCATCTCATTTTAGTGCTATAAAAATACACTTGGGAGTTTGAAACACTTTGTACCTTTAGATCTGACTTCTCCTTCAGTGTAGCCTGATACTTCTCTCTCTGGGATGGAAAGAGATAAGATGTATTTTGCTCCCCACTTCCTAGCTATAAAGAGTACCACTGCAATAAATAAGATGGGAGCACTGAACCATCACCTTCTGCATGACTGAAGGCAGAGAAGCTGACTGGAGAGTGAAAGAAATACTCAGTGTGAAGCTGGGTGGACAGAGCACATTCTTGTATATACAAAGGAATCATTTCTTCTAAACCGGGGTAGGGCTTGCAGAAAGGTAAAGAGAATGTGTAAACTGTGACTTCAGAAAACCAATATACAATTCAATACTGCCATGCTATTATGCATTCCACCTACATGAACAGAAATAAAAGAATGGTAATGGCTAAACTCAAGCACTTAAATTTCAGTGTCCATTAAATAAATCTACACACGCACAATTTTAGGCACTCAATCTCTTTAACAATTTATATTTTTGAGTAAACAATCTGTTTTTTGAATAAAGAAATAAATCCTACTTTTTGTTTTCCAAAAGGAGAAAAAACAGAAACAAGATGGAAGATAAATTAGCTATTTGCATGGAGTTCAAGAGACATCTAGTGGTTACCAAAATACAGCTTTCTGTAAGAGCTTGATAACAAGTATCTTTCTATGTTGCTTGATACAAGTTTGAATGCAAATAATAGTAACTGGAAATTGCATGTGATCCAAGTGTTCCAAGAAAGCTCTTTTTTCCACTTTCACTAAACATATTATTTGCTCCTTTATAAGCATTTATATTTATATTGCCTTAATTATTCTTGGTATCAAACAATTTTTTAGCAAGTTTCTCCAGAAAAGATATTATAAAGCTAAAGCAAAATGGACCCACGTAGGAATTAATACTTCCACAAATGTCAGGATACTTGTATGTATGGAATATGCATACAATTGCATAGAATATGCAATGCATTATTGACATTTAAATCTATCTAAACATGTTATGACATTTTAAAACAATATCTAATGCATTCTGGAAATAAAAGATTACTTTATCCATTATCTATGTTCTCTTTGTATTTTCATACTACTACTTTTTTACTGAACATTGAAGGATTTGCAAGATTCAGATAGTAACAAAAGAAAAATTCTGATCTACGTATACAATCTAATGTTAAATACTGATGCGTGTTTATTTTTTAGTATCCATTTTCACGATTTACTTAAAAGAATTCCTCCACAGTTTAGAAGTAACTTAGTCAGATTAAATACTGGAGTGTGCTCTCATAGTTTTATAATCCAGTATTTCTTCAAAAACAGACATTTTGGTAAGCAAAACCTGTAACTCTTATTGAAGGTAACTGCTGAACTATTCAGAAATACTTCAATTGCTAGAGTATGAAGTAGCATAATCTTAAGTAACACTTGGAAAAGAAAATATTCCCACCTGTACAAATAAACATTCTAAATATTTTATGTCTTATCTATTCTTTGTACAAGCATGCACATCTCGGAACGTTTTATAAACAAATCCTTATGTTGGTGAATGAACAAGGGAATGAAGAATAATACACAATGTTCCTGCAGCTACTGGACTAAGTTATTAAAAAAAAAAAAACAGGTTTGTATACAAAATAACATGTAAGTTACATGTCCTCAATATAGCAGTTAACTTGCAATTTGCTTATATGGCAATAAGGAAAATCTAGGACAGTTGCATACAGAACAAAGTGCTTTATTCTTTTTGCTATTGACTATCCTCAAGAGCATTTTGTATTCAAAAGAGAAAAAAAAGCTGTTCCAGCTCACACTCATTTCAAGTGAGTGAAAAGAACTCATTTCATGTATTCCAACAAGCTAAGTGTTTTTCCCCCCCCCACCCCATATAAATATATCCATGTAAACATGCATATGTGTGTGCATGCCTATGTGTTTGTTCTAATACAAGGTGCACAGATGTGTAGGTTTTATTCGGACAAAAAAAAAAAAAGAGAGAACTGAAGGAAGGGAGATCTGAGCAGAGATTCCAGCACTGAGCTAACAGAGTCATCAAAAGAGTCTCTTATTCTCAAGTTGGTACCTACACATCTTACTATTTGCTAAAGTTTCTGATAGTATCGACACTTCTCACTTAATGTCTAAATTCAAATACAATGGTTCTGCTCTCCAGGAAGAGATGGAAAAATACAGCTCAAGTGCAGAATATTGATCTAGTTGCTCTCTTTATCAATCTTTTATTATATTTTTTAAATGTGAACAAATGTTCCAGAAAAAAAAAACATAAACCCTTTGCATATGACAAACCTTATTCACAATTAAAAAGTGCATTTTAAACCAATTGCTGCAATGATCAACTTCTATAAGAATCTCTGTAGATTTCCTTATGTTTTTAAAATTTAAGTACCAAAGCTACTCTTCCCTCCATGTGCATGTTTCAGAGATCTTCACTGTTGAAAATTGTTAAATAATTTTGAAAAACAGTCATACGTTAAAATACATTCATTAGCCAAATTTTTAATTGGAAATAAAAACAAAAACATATTTGTAAGGATAGTGAATCTACATTAATTCTTTTGAGTAGCATGGGAGCTGAAGAACTTAGCAGACTTTCTGATTTGTATGTTTTAGCAGTATTATGTTGTTTGCTGTACTAAAGAAAAAGCTTAGTCTAGTAAAAATTAGCAAATGAAAATGAGGACCAAATTTTTTTTGTTCAGAATTTCCTTCCTAAGTTCCACTAGGCTGCACGACTTGGCAAACACCCAAATTTTAGATACTGGTGATTAAAATGAGACATCATACATCATACATGGATTTAGCCCCACATGACTAATACCTACCATTGCAGTTCTAGATTTGATAAACCAGTCAAATCTGAACTGAGGTGCATTGCGCACACACTGCCTTAGTTCCTCGTACACATTTTCTTTGTCAAAGCCCATCTTGTGTAACATGCATATCAAAAATCTGTCTTCCTCTTCTGTGTAATTTTTGCCTTTGTTTGTTCCATACTGAATACGCAGCTGATGAAAAGGGGCTTTATACCTTGCAATCTGAATGCAAAACAAGAATAGACTATCAGACATCCAACATTACATCAAGGATTTACTACATGTACATTACTGAAATATGGCACCCCTATAAAAAGGTAACACTCCCACCCAACTGTTCCCTTTCTGACAGGCTTTGGAAGATAGATCCAACCGTAACTATAAGCACAGAAAGAAGTGAGCTACAAAATTGACAAAAAATTGAAATGATTACTTTGGCATCAAGCGCTTTCTTGATACTGATCCTCCGCTGAATTCTCGCTTCTCCTCGTTCAATTTGAGCCATAATCCTCTCAATGTCCTGCAGTTCATTGCAACGTTCCCAGAAAACAGCTAAAAAAATTAAAACACAACTTGCAAAATGAAAGCTTTTTCCTTTACTGTTAAAGCACTCTTTGTCAAAAGAAAAATGCAGTTTGTAGTTTTGAAGATTCGCTAATGCTCTCTGGTTTACTCCAGTAGCTAAAAAACAAACTTGCCTAAACTTTTATTCAATGTTCATTCAATTCAACCAAAAGTTACCTAGAAGTAGAAGTTTAGTAACAACAAATTTTAAGTTCAACATAATTAACTTAGTGCTCAATGTCCTGCAGTTCATTGCAACGTTCCCAGAAAACAGCTAAAAAAATTAAAACGCAACTTGCAAAATGAAAAACTGGTAGCTCAGCAGTAGCATTAAACAAACCATGCCTCACAAAACACTCATATTTCAGTTTTTGCTAGCTATCTCTGAGGTCAAAAGGCACTAATTCTAAAAATTAATAATTGGCAACAATAATTGTTCTTGGGTGACATTTTTTCAGAGAATCCAAAATAAAATCAACAAATTGCAGCGAACTCTAGTGCAGCTGCTCCTTTTTAAGGCACAGCAATGTAAAAGGTACTGCAATGTAAAAATTTAAGTAGCTTAATAAAATTAAATCTAAGGATGAAACAAGAAGAATTCAGAGCAAATTACAAATGTAAGTATTGTAGAAATACCAAAGACAAGGATACAACATGTAAGCTACAAGCCAGTACTTATAGCATAAAGTATGTTGCCACTTTAAAGCAACTTCATGATTCCAAAAGACTGTGGCACCAAACATTAACTAACTATGCCATGTTCTAAATTTTCATTAAGAGAAAGACAATTGACGACAGATGCATATGTTGCATATTTAACCTTTCCAACGGAACTAAGTCTTCTAAAAGCAATCATCAGATATCTTTTCTAAATTCTTCAAATACATTTCCAAATTCTCCATCTCACAGTTCTGAAATATAGATGCTAGTACCACATGATTTTAAAAGACACTGCAAAATATCCACAAACCTGAATACTCAATGACCTCTTCAGGTGACTTGCCCTCAACCTCGCGGGCAATATTGTCTATATCATCACGTCCATATTTCTCATTAGCTTTAATAAACTGGTTAAAATCTCTTTTGTTCCAGTTTGTAAAACCCTGTAAGCAACAAGAGATCAAAATCACTACTGCATAGAAGGGAAAACAGTTTCTTAAGTACATATCCTACCCTCCTATTGGCAATGCTTCTGCACAGTGTCACGTAATTACAGTAACAGTCTTTCAGGATTTCTACAAACTTCTATTATCCAGGATTTATTAGCGAGTCATAAAAAGTCTTTAAAGTAATTTTTGTGCATGATTCCTCATGCATTAGTATTGGCCTTTTACAGAAAAAAAAAGGAAAAAAGAAGTGGTATTCCTTCAAAGAAACAACCTTAATGACAAGTTACTGCCACGCTTCAGCAAAAGCAAGAAAAAATAAAATCTTTGAAGTATAAGGAGCACCAATGCAGGCATCTATACAAGTTTTCAGAGCAGTCGAAGTATGCAAGGCAATAGCTAGCTGGAGTATTTATAAACATTGAACAAAATACACACACTTAGATGACAGTATAAATTCTTCAAGAAAGTCTTTAGTCTGAGAAGACGCAATCAAATGGAAACACCATAGTACTGTCAAACATAAAATATGTTAGTACAGAAGAAATGAACTCCAAAGTGAACAACAGTTAAATGAGATGCAATGTGTGAAAACATCATCCAAGAATGAGATTTTGCAGTTTAAAGGACAGAAAAAGGAGAAAACATCAAGAATAAACAAATGCCTAAGTAGCGGTTTGTGGTGCATCAAGTTTCTTTCATCAGAAAAACATATTTACAGGGAAGTCTGTCAGTTCTCCTGGATAAACTCAGTCCATAATTAGATGGCATTGTTACAAGAAATCTAACCTCTACAATACAAATATTCCTTTTAAAACATTAACAGCAATACTGACATGCATACTGGTACCAGCTTAAGTATTTCTCCCTCTATCAACAAACAGAAGAGATGAACAGTCAAACAGTGGCCTTGCAAATTTCTTCAAGGTGCAAGAAGGTGCTTTTCCTTTACAGGAAAAGTTTCTCAATCAAAAAAATGTCTGCTATTTAAACAAACAAACAAAACCTTTCTCTTATTATGTAACTTCTGGTAAGCCAAAGCAGTAGGATAACAGTTCAGAAAAATCACTGAAATAGCCAGTGGCCTGGATTCAGAACCAGCAGCAAAGGAGCATGCCTTAAGAACGCAACTGGCACAATAATTAAAGGATATGACAGTATCATGTGACACATGGCTGTGCAAATGCAGTATGTTGATACATGCTTGCACATGCACATTTGAGTGGCATATGCCACTGACTGGCACATACACTGAACTGTGCATCCACTAGACAAGTCTTGGCTTTGGAATTGCTGCTGACATTCAAGGAAGTGGGGGCCAACTGAAAGGGAAACTCATCTGAGGACAGGACAGGTCTCAAAACAAAAACAAGATAAAAATCATTTCATCTGGCATGGGCATGGCCTGTAATTTCTGTAACATCAATATAGCTTTCCTGCACACACTTTGTTTTTAGCACTGTGGAATATAAATCCACAGTGCTAACACCAATATACTTCAGCTCTTTTCACCTGTGTTAGAAGTTTTTCTTTCTCTTCAGTTTCTTCAGGATTCAGAGGCATAGATTCGTCAATCTTCTTTTGCTCTTCTTTTTGCACCTGAGCTGCATTTGGGAGGTCAGGATTCCTCGGAACCTTTGGATAAGCAGTAGTGCAACAATGTTATTAAAGAGACACTCTTCTGTAAAGCTTACTGTAAAGCTCCTTAAAGCTTTACAATTTATAAACACATGTTAAAACTGATAGAAATGGCACAGTTCAAACATACAAGTATGTGCTTTTACAAAACAAACAAAAAAGAAAAAAAGACAAAACACAAAACATCTCGTACCTTGACTACCCTGAAGAAACAAAACCTTTTTAAAATATTTAAAATACTACAGAACATTTTCCTCAGTGTCTATAGAACTGCTGCAAAATTTAAACTACTCTTTTAGAAAACCTAATGTATCAAATACTAAAGTTATTCAGAAGAGCTTGTTTGCTCTTGTCTGACAAGCTTTGGAGTGTTAATGTTCAGTGTCATCCACCAGTAACAAAAGGCTCCCATTCACTTTAAGAAGCTTAAGTGAAAAGCATATAGAGAATACATCTGGTAAAATACATTTTTAAACTATTAAGTAGTAAAGCAAACACTAATGTTAAAATTACCTTCTTTCTACTGTGAACAGAGCAATTTTCCCAACAATTACCAAATTCAGTCTTACTGCTTAAATTTTCACCATAAAAAACAGGGTTAGGTTTTGTCAAATGTTATGTTCGTCCCCTTTCTTAACATCCAGCTTCTATCACTCACCAAAAGAACTCAAGGTTAAGAGGGGCAGATCCTCACCTAGCTTAAGCTATCATAGTTTACTGATTTCAGACACTTTTCACTAGCCATGGACAGGTTCTCTAAAAAATAAATTATAATCTATTGGACATAACTAATGAGAAGCACTAAGGTTATCAGTTAAAGTTGTGCACACTGCCTATTTAAAGGCCAGACTGTGGTATTTCGTATAGCAAACCAGATCTAACAACATTTTGTGTGTCCTGGCAGCAATTGAGTATTAGTGGCTTGGGAATAGAATTCCGCACTATGCCGGCAGAGAAGACGGGACGCCTGGGAGCCTGGCAGTGGTGGGAGCCTGCTGCATCCCAAACCTTCCCTATCCAGCACAAACAGCGCCGAGGCCTGCAAACAGGGCAAGGGTAACACTCCAAATGGACAAACAGGTCATGGAAATTCTCTTATGCCACTGTCCCAGCAGCCAGTTTGGAAACAGGGTCAAAGACTCCCTCTCAGGTAGAGGTGCCTCCCAGCCCTCCAGCAGCTACTTCAGTCGCACCTTGGCTGCGGCAGTGGTGCCAGTTGTGAAGCACATCTGGACCCCTTGCAAACACCAGCACTCGCCAGTGAGGCTGCAGACACACATATGTCTGCAGCAACGAGGCACAAGGGAATAGCTAAGGTTAAGACCTAGCCAGGAAGTTTTCTTGTTTCCAGTGGTTTACGTTAATACGATCATGTGTAGAGCTTGGACTATAAATCCGTCACATTGTTTTTAAAATTGAGGACTGCCTTAAAAACAAACTCCCTTCAAAAGGAAAGTTATACTCCCTTTTCTAAGCAGCAGGTATTTATCTATCATTTTTACCAGTAGTAAACAGTCCTGTTAGATAAAAAGAATGGTAATTTGCCTAATGAACTTCATTAACAGAATTGAAGCACGACATGCAGACAAGCTATTCAAATTATTTCCTAAACTTTCATTCTGAAACAATAAAAAGTAAAATCTGAAACTATAAGAAACGATTTTCTCCTCTATAAACACTACCACTATCACAAAAGTTATTGTAGTGTGTAAAGAAGGCACTTTTGAGTCCATATTTTTGGTTGAAATTTTAACAGTCTTTCCAAAGAAATATGGAGTGCCAAATTAAACATGATGGCACACAAAATGAAAGAAGTAACCACATGCCAGGTCACAAAATCAGTCACCTACAAAGTCACACTGTCAAGAAAGGTGAATTCAAGTCTATTTTTTTTTTTTAAACAGGTCAATTACTTTGCAATTGTTTATGAATATATAAAAAGGGAGATGTTCATTATATTTTGCAGCTGAAAATGGATATTTGTCTTTTAAGATTCCAAATCAACTACCAGAGAAGTTTACCTAATAGTACACTTATGTCACACACACACAAAAATCAATTTTAAATACATTTGTTTTACTTACGACACATTTACCTACTTATAAATTTATATCTACAAATGCATTTGTGACCAAACGTAGTCAGCAACTTCTCTAAATATATTCTGAAGCCTCACGTTACTTTAATAGTGTAAATCATCTCATGTTCTAAAAAAGATGTATTCTAGTCCTAAAGTCTCCTTTCTATTTAACTACAATTCAGTTCAAAATCCAGAGAGAAGACAAACAGAGTCTTCAAATTGTGCCAAGTCAGACTTCAAAATATGTGAGGAAAAAAAATAAAATAAAACCACTACACCCACTCTCTTAGCCAAAAAGATGTTATAGATAGAAACTAAACTGAATTAATTTACACATCTTTCAGGAAAAAAAAAAGCCTCTGCTGATACAGTTCTTCGTCCTGGTACACCTGGAAAGCTGGTATTGTTTTTTTGTTTGTTTGTTTTTTGTTTTTTTCCATGTTAGTCTTTGATAGTACTAAACCTGACGGTGCCCTAGCAGGCAGGTAATACCTGTGCCTCTTTCAGAATGAAAAGTTTTCCTCCCGACCACATAGAATTTTCACTCCTTAAACGCTCCTCCTACTTTTCCTCCCTATTTTGATAGGTAACCACTTAATATCTTAACAATATATAATATCTCCAAAATTTTTATACTTACCACTGCATAAGACTACTCTCACCAAAAGAGCTGTAACACGGCCATCTCCTCTGGTACTTGTGATTTGAAAAACTGTTCTAGATTGTGGTTTTATTTTTACACATGATTTCAAATGCCTCAATTTGGAGCCATAGCTAGCTCCAAGAATAGAAAAATTTACCTGTATTTTCTATCACTCTCTCCTTAAACATGCATCAAAGTAGAAACTGAAATTATCCTAGAAATTATTTTATTAATTTCTGCATGTTCACACACAAATAGTACATTTACTTTAAATGTGATTTTAGTCATTACTCCAAGTAGCAAGATAAATGGAGATTCATGGTCCATGATCTTTCACTTCAGTTAATAAACGCAGAATTTTGGATTAAATGTATTTGGATAGTTCATATTGGGCTGTAGTAATATACTGCATGTTGGCAATTTTCTTTCTTTTTTTCTTTTCTTTCTTATAAACCAGCTATAAGAAGTTTGTCTTCTTATAACACATTACCTGACCTTCTCAGTTCTCAAAAATGATGAGCAGCAGCAACAGGAACTTTCCTTTGTTTAGAGCTTAAATGAATTTCATTCAGTCCTCTTGATTCAAACATATTCAGATTCTCAAAATATTCTTTTACCTAAATTTAACTAATATCCCCACTTCATATCCTCCACCTCCCATTTCATACACATATGGCCAAGATTAGCAATCTTTCATACCTATTGTTGAAGCATTAACCAAACCATGTCCTTCCCTAAGATAATTATACTTCCATTCTTATCTACCCTGCCATTCTCAGAGTCTTTCAGTTCCTAACTAGATTTTAAGCACCTTCTGCTTATTCTCAAAAAAAAAACACTCCTAATATTAATTCTACTCTTTTCCACTGACAATTTCCTGTATGTCAGTTTCTACAACAGTTTATGTTCTCCAACTTAAGTTTATAGAAGTATTTCCTTTTACTGTAATTTAGCACCAGGCCTGTTTTATTTGTTTTTGTGGTAGTAGTAGTAAGTTACACAATGTCTGGAAGCAGCAGTCCCATCTGAAGAGTCCCAACACTGGCATTAGTAATGAAAAAAGTCAACATCAAAACAAAAAATTGTTCTTCTGCCCAGTAACATTACGCAGGGGAAGGGCAGCTAAAGTAGAAAAAGTAGTCAATTTTTTTTTCTTCTTTCCTTAATTACAATAATATACCAAAACTCTACTCCGCACCTTTAAACATCTTATGCTATCCAAAATGCATGGGAAACTGAGGTTACTCTACTTACCATCACACCAACACTAAGTCAACTTCAGTATTACCTGTATTAACTAAGTATTAAGTTCTGGGCAAGAAACATGAAAGCTATCCCGAAAAAAATTGTACTTTCGAAGGTGATCTTACATTAGTTAATACTGATTTATCACCCCTGCTCATATCACTTTTTAAATAGATATCTATATAAATTACACGGCACGGAATAATTTTTAAGCCATTTTACATTTAAATGGAAAACATTATGCAAAAGATAAAACCAGAACGATACACTACTCAGACATAATTTACTACTTTGAAATAGCTGCTGTTGAGGTTAAAGTAAATCTATATAGAAGTGAAATATATGTCACTAATTAAAAAAAAATTACCTTATATCCTATGGTTTTACGATAATACAGAATTTCTTTTTCCAGAAGTTCAAATAATCGTGGTGGAAAAAATTGGAAATCCTGAATATTTGGTTGTTTGGGAGGTCGTGGAGCCTTCAAAAATACACAGACATATCAATTCTGTGCAGTTAAACTACACAACTGGCAACATATTGCTCTGCAAGACACGTTAATTTTATTAGAAGTACAGGGTAAAAGTAGAGGATGGAATTAGGAAGAGAAAATGACCAAAAGAACAAGATATGGGGGGAAAAGAGCGTCCCCAGCTTTTTACCTTGGGAATTTTTGGTTCACTAACACGCAGGGCTTCTCTAAAATAAGCATCCACTGCATAATTAGCTTTGCGTTCCCGTTTTGGAGGCTCTATCCATTCCATCATGCTCAGCTAAACATAGAAGTAAAATACATTAAAATAACAGCAACTATTGACTGATGAAACACTTCAACAGAAGGGTCTATTTTCATTGCCAATCTACTGCTCCACTCACCAACATGAATAGTACAACAAAACTCAAGAATAAGCTAGAAAGGCAGATTACTACATGTATGCAAACACACAATAGTACAGCAGCAAGTGAGGACTGTGACCTTGCAGTGTCATGGGTGCCCCCACACTGTATTCTCTAGATTTTAGACATCTTAGTGAGGCAGTTATCGTGTCTACCTAAATCCCACTGAAGGGCATGGGAAATGCCTCTGAATTCTGTAACTTGCTACAGTGAAAGAATTACTTCTCCAGAAATCATGATGAATAACTTATACAGCACTACTGCGTTAACAAAAAAAAAACAAAATCCATTAGACAGCAGTGACTTTATCTTAAACTTACTAAAGTACGCTTCAAGACCATGCTGTATTAATCTGGCTTGTTTTAATAAATTATTTTCAAGAAAAGAAACACACACAGTTATGTATATATACATATACTTTATTCTCATTAAATATTTCATTTCTTTAAATGTTTCTTCGAAATTGCTAGGAAATTTGGATTGAAAATATTTATGAAATAGATATGGGGCAACAGACAGCTGTACAGAGAACAAACTAATCACAAGGTAATTGCTTTGCAGGATGTACTGCAAT